TAAAGAATAATCTGGCAGAGAAAGAGAGTAGTTTTTATGGTGCAAGAGCCCAATTCAGCTCAAACTGATACCTGTGGGAGATGGACCAGTCACAAGTATGACAAAAACATCAGGTGGGTAAGGATGCTGATCTGCCCTAAAAAAACTCCATCCCAGTACAAGACTGAAATTGCAACAGGCTTTTCCTTGTGTTTCTCTCCACCCCTATGCAGCATAATTTGGGCCAGACTTTGCAAGGTGCTGAGTGCCTCTGTCCTCTAACATCAAGAGATGCTGAAGATGCAAGATATCCACTGGAGAGGGCCAAGTTATTTCTGTAAATTGAACCCAGAATGTAAGGCATATATGCTCAAGTACCTTGGACAGATATTGTCCCCAAATTATGTATATTTTACATTTTTTTATATATATACACACACTTTTTTTTTTAATACAAAGTTATGGGCACAGTAAACATGAGCACAGAATTGTGATAAACAAACAGTAAAATTTGTGAGCACTGCAAAGATTCCTCAGGTAGGAGCATCTCCTTTTCCAGTTTGCTAACAAGGGAGGAAAAAAAAAAAAAAAAAAAGACCTGATAAGTTAAGAAGTAAAAATTCAGAACCCATTTGGGAAGATCCTTTATATATTCACAGCCTTATCTGCTGCTGTTAGTCTAAATGCAGCAGCATTTTTAGAATATATGATGCCATTAATAAGTGGAAAGGGAAAAAATTGCATTATACACTCAAGAGTCCTTCATCATCTACTATACCTCGTAAAACTTCCATTTGTCAGGAAACTACTTTTCTTAAAAAAGGAAACTTAAATTAACATTTGTCTGCACATCAGTAAATCAACACAAGAGGATGCTAGGAGTTAAGAATTCCTAAGTATTTTCTATGGCAAAAAGCTTTCCTATCAGTGGTAAAATCCTGACCCTACCAAAGTCATCAGGAGTTCTGTCATTTTGTCAGTGACTGAAGTCCAGGTGTGCAATACTGCAGTGAAAGCACAGTCATGTCAAGGGGATTTCAAAGGTGGGGATGATGGTAGAAGTTGATGTTAGAACAGGAAATCAAAATGCAGCTAGGTCAGCTCCATCCCTGCTCTAACTCATCCATGAGGCCAGCCTCCTAATATTTATAAAGTGTCTCACTGTTGACAGTCACTTTCTCTACAAACTTGGTGTCCACTTTCAGACATCTAATCCCAAGGCCTGTAGCCAACCTGCTACTGGGTAATGTCTTTATGCATGGAAGCCATTTTGTCTAATCCTTCTTACTCAGCTTTGATGGCATTAGCGTGACATCAAGATATGATAATGTTCTCTTTTCACATTTTTTTTGGTAAAAAATTACTACCAAGTATGTGAATTTCCTGTTTGTAAGCTTTATATTCCGGAAGTGACTGAGCAGCAATACATCTTTTGAAGCAGCTAAAGATCTACCATTTAACAATGGGGACCTGGAATGAAATCCTGGCCCCACTCAAGTAGAAGCTCTGATGTTGACTTCATGGGACTCTGCCAGGTTTCTTCCTTCCATAAAACTTGAGCAAATTCTGGAAGATGATGCTCATTTGTTTTGTGGGGTTTTTTCCCCTCCTCCAACAACAAGATTTACTGCAAAACAAGAACACTGTAATGGCTAATGGAAAAAATAAAGCAAAAAGTCACACACAGTGAAAGCCTCCTACTCTCTTTTGGTAAAGATACATGAAGACAACTTCTTACATTGTTCTTTTCTCAAAAGGCATATACAATGTGGCAAAATATTTCAAATATACATTCTATATAATAAAATATCATCTAACTAGTGCATCCTCAATCATATGCTGGAAATATTTTTACCAAGCCAAGGTTTATATTCCATAGATCTTTTGAACACTAGGTGCTTCATTCAAGGCAGATTCAACAGCAAGTAAGTCCCACAAGCTCACTTTTCAAGACTTAAAAGGTAGCAATGGATGGAACATGACATATTATGACCCACAACAGAGATGAACAAAGTCAGTGGTGATAAAACATTTTAATG